GTAATTCGTCAACTTCAAGTATAGCGGTTCGAGACTTACATCTAGAGCGATAGAGATGGCGACAAGGAACAAGTTCATCTGGTACAGTCGGTTGTACTTGTGCAGACCGTTGGCGATAAGACGCTTCTTGACGACCCAGATGAAGTAGAAGTTGAGAACAGCATCCATAATAGCGAAAATAACCTTTTCGCAACGATCCCAAATGTTGTTGATGGCAACGTACTGCTCGCTGATTTGGAGACGGGCAGGCACCCAAATGCAGAACACGCTGATGTTGATGGCGAAGAGAATAAGGAAACAAGTCCATTTCAGCTTGGTTGCGTTGGCGCGAACCAACATGAGCAAGCCTACTCGGTTGATAATGATTTGAATGAGGCATTGCACCTGGGTAGACCAAAAGACAACTGAATTGAGAGGTTAGTATCTGGTTGTTCGTGATCCATGAGATGGGGCTCATCGTACTGATGAAGAAATAAAACTGGAAGCTGGGCTCGATGATTCCGCGAAGATAGAGCCAAACCATGACACCAAGGACGGAACTCGAGATAATCTCGACCCAAACCATGAGGACGTAAATGGTCAGCCGCTTTCGTCTGTTGATGGAGGACTTCGACTGCCGGAAGGCCTTGGCGCAGTTGAAGACGGTGACACCCAGGGTCAAGCCCCAGATGATGGACGCAATGTTCATATCATCCTCACTCGGGGCTTCGAGCTTGAAGTTGTCTGGCACGAGGAATCCGCGACCCATCTCGACTGCCGTGCCGCGCACTCGGATGTCGTTTTTTCGTGTGGTCGTGTGGTTCGTGGGAGTCGTCCCGGGAGATTGGAAGCCGTGTGAGACAAATGAACAAGCAAGCAGAAGAAGCAAAACCCGGAATCCAACAACACCTTGTGATACCGAGAGCAAAAGGAAAGAATGTCCGGGGCAATGCCGTGTGGAGGGCGGCGACACCGGGTTTCTTTAGAAGGCTCACCAAGCCCTGGAGCCCGAGTCCGAGTGCCCCCCTCCCAAACAATAGCTTGTCGACGACTAACTGTACGACGGCGTCTAGGGGCTCCATTTTCTCACCATGGCCCAGGCTCTTACTGGAGAAGCCTGACAGCTCGTTGCGGGCGGTGGTGCGAGTCGTGTCCCTGGTCCCGGGGGTGTCGATTTGGGCTGCCGGAAGCTGGAGCCAAGACACCCACGACCAGGACTACGCTGCATCGCTGGGCTCTCCTTGGACTCTTCTAACATGGAGCGGACGCCGCCACCCGATCCGCCGAGCCCAGTGCGCTGAGCGCATGGCGAGACGTGATACGGCGACGACGGGATTGACAGTGCGCTAAAGACTTTTAGCACAGCCAGTCTGCGTGGCAATAGTGTGGTATAACAGGGGGGGGCTTTGCTCTTGTGGGTTGGTGCCGTCCGTCTCTTCGACAGTGATATTCGCGGCTGGGAAGGAGATTAAATTCTGGAATCAACCTGGAAGTGAGGACGGCTTCCAGAGAAAGAAACAGACATTGCCTTGCTCTGAATTGACTCCAGCCGGTTTCGCCGAGCAAACGGGTGGCTGGATACGCCGGAAGCTTGTCATGGCCACAATCTGGATCTGCAGGACTAACACACAGCACCAGAGGTACAAGCAACAAGCAGGCCTCACCCCTCAAATCGGCTCTTCATCTCATCTGCAGCCTGCTTGCCAGGGCGCAATCGACCCTGACCTGGCCGTCTCCGGCAGCCCGACTCCTGGCAGGATCCCGGTCAAATTAGCTCTCCCTCACCAACGCGTGGCTTCGCGCGGCCCGGTACGAGTCAGTGTCTCGCAGGCCGCCGCCGTGATCGACACTAGGCCCCGCCAACGCAGTGAAGCCAGCGATACGTAACGTAGTAGGGTCGAGCGAGGGACTTTTGGTGTGAAATCGCCTGTGGCAGTGGCAGTGGCAGAGGGAGAAGTTGGGTTGGGGGAGGGAAAACGGTTGGAACTGGGGATGGCGGCGTGGCGGCCGATTCATTCAGCCTTCGCTCGATGCACCACGCACCCGAGGATTTGGATTGACGAGATGGGTCCTGATGAGGCCACTTTTGCATTATACCACACAGACATGTTCCAGACTTCCCCAGAACCCCAGACAAACCCCGCGAAGTTGTAATACATGTGCCGCAGCATCACAACAGGATGTAACCCAGCCCAGATGCAAAGGATCCTCTGTATGGCGTTTCCTCGAGCGGACATTGATCTCTCCACCGACTTTTTTTTCTTCTTCATCAGATTGCACATCTTAGTACGGATAGGCCGACTGCCGGATGATCTTCATCATCCCGCTCCGCCGCTGGTGTCTGCGCCGGCTGCCCCGGTTTTTCGTCGGAATCTCCCATCTGTGGACTGAAGATTCTTTTAGATGCTCCCCCGGTGCAGAGACCAGGAAACGATCCAGGCCGCTGCCGGTCTCCACTGCCCCGGCCCGAATCTTGAGCGTCCTCTGGCTCTCTGCGTCTCTCTGGCTGTCCCTCCAGCACCCGGAGCATCTCGTACGACTTCCTAGGGCCCAGACGTTGGGACTATCGGTGCGGTGGCTTGCGCGTGAGGCCCTCAGCTTCACTGAGGCTAGTGTATCATGGCCAATTTGTGTGCCTGGCTACTGACTAGCACCGCGAGTCCGCCGTTAATGCCGTTGCGAACAGATGGTCAGCTAGCCTACCACTACCGACCATCTCGGGTCTTCTTTTGCCGACTTGCTTATCTGGCAGGCGATCTCTTGGTCATGTCTGAGTAACAATGCTTCTGGTGGGAGGCACGTCGACAGCCATGCGGGTAAGGCTGTCGGTCGTGACTCGCGACCCTAGGCCAGCCACTGCGGAGGATTCCTTCCACGTCTCACTTGCAGCGTCTGATCGCCTGGACGGTGACAAAATGATTCTTCGAAACCGGCACAGCATGCGGCGGCTCGGCCGGTTGCCACACGACACGGCGTTGGTTCATGCCCTTATCACGTCTGAGCTTTGCCACAGCTCTCGGGCGCAGGTACACCGACATGCCTCAACATGATTTATTTCAGTTTTAATCCAAGTGCTTTTGTGGGCTGCGGGCGTGGAGACAGATGCAAATCTGACGTCTAAATGAGCAGGCCTCTCCCCTGCCAGACGGGGCTTGAGCGCCAGCGCATTGGCGATGGCATGCGATGGTCATATTACTCCACGATTCATTGCTTTAGCAGGCATTGAGGCATCGAGTCATTGTGCTTATTCCCCGTAATTCAGGTTTCAATACGGGTCGTCATTAATGATATCATGGATAGCCCTGTCGGCCATGGGGCTCTTGCTAGGATTTTCCAATGGAGTTTGATCGACGTTCTTCTCCCAAAACAGCTCCCCTGTCCAAAAGGAAACTCTAATACAGGGCCCCTGACTGGTTCCAACTCCTCGCCAAGTTGAACTACATAGGGCAAGCGGCATTTCACCGGGTGGCGGTCGATGGGACAACGCCAAGAGGCAGCTAACACAGCGCCAGTCCGAGCACATGTGGACTTCTAATGCGTAGTAAGTAGTAGTGATACGAGGCCGCTCACACGCCTATTCTACCAGGGACTCTCTGGCGCTTTCGTTTCGCAAGCTGATGCTACAGACATAAACGTGGCACGGCGAGCCATGTGTCATCGTCCCGGCTTCATTCCCCTTTTAACTCTTGACTTTGCTCCCGCGTGCTTCACACGTTGCTTCCCTCTGTCGGCCACGTGTGACTACTGCGTAGTACTGCGTAGTAGGGCTCGGGCTTCACGCCATCCCTTCCCTCGCGTTGTTCCCACGTGTGCTCTCAGCTCAATGACTCGCAGAGGCTTGCTTCATGACAAGAGTGTCAGACTCAGGGGCCGACGATCAGCAGCACGACATTGCAGCTACGGCTTGAACGAGTGTTCCAGATGAAGCCAAGAGTCTTCCCACCCAGCGTCCACACCGTTAGACCATTCACGCCTCTGGCTTTTGCTAGGGCCGTAATAGAACGCAGATTTTTTTTCTCTTCAAGCGTGATTAGACTATCTAATCGAACTAGACGGCTTCTGGTCTGTCGGCGGACGGGAGCCGCACTAGAAGGAGGAGTTCCAGCGCCATCTCATCGCCAGTGACACTCTTGCCGCCCGCCCGGTCAGGGTCAACCGTTGGCCCGGGTCACTTGGTTACTCGGACTACTGTCCTGTGTGACGATGTGGAAACCAAGAATCACTCTCTTGTTTCTTTGGATAGTTGCTCATGTTGGTCCAAGGACCCATTCTCGGCGCAATTCTACTTGGTAAAATTCTACATAATTTAACCCGGTGGTCCCAATACGATGAAGAGCCAATGAAGAACCAAGAGGCTAGTAGATAAGGCCCATGATGAAAAACCGTATCGCGGCGTAAATGCTCCTTCAACAACTTGGCAGCCCCTTTCTATGATTAGTAGAGAGGCGCTTGGAAAATTGCGCGGCTAGACGAGGGTATATCTTTTACCGGGACCGCCAACTGCATTTGGATCCGCGGAGGCTAAGCGCAATGTCTCGCCTCACCCTATCTGCATGGGGCGTTGGCTAACGCAGCTGAAGCAGCTTGGCCAGGCGTTCTACCGACATGATTTGGACCATGCTGTAGATTGAGGATACGGGCGAGGAGATTTGTTCCAACTACCCTTCGTCAAACGGCGGGGCTTAAACTAGAGACGTAATATTAATGTTATACATTCGTTCTCGAGGCAGTTTATCTGCTATTTTCTCAACGGCCAGTACCCGTATTGTCTTGGTTACGATGAGGAGTGTAGTGAATGTTTAGTAATGGACACTGAGGATGATATTCTTCTCGTTGTTGGCCATGTGGAGATAGTACATTATAAAAGAACTCGAAAATGCGGTCCATATTGCCACGAAACACTCCTTACTCTCATTCAGCTCATCGAGCTCTTCAAGTCGTCGACAGAGGCATCAATCATTCCTGCGCATTCTCCTCCGAGCCTGATAGTAATGAATACCGGGGCCGGCAATCACCAATCAGGGCGAATGGTTTAGTGGTATAATACTCCCTTAGCATGTTTCGTCTGAATATCTGGGAGTGGTCCAGGGTTCGATTCCCTGTTCGTCCAACACAGGTGGTTTGAATCCACTAATTATCCTTTCTTTTTGCCGTCGATCTCTTTATTTTTGGATGAATTGACCAGTTGCCATCATTACTTCCACCATATATATCTTTAACAAGTCCCCATCGAAGCTCAAGACATCTAGGCATCGTTATCACCTCTGCAATCGACAAGGGATTCGCCTTTTCTGGTTCGGCCGAAGAGGGTAGTTAATTTCACTTTCCTTTCCATGGGTATTCAAGCCATATCAACTCTATCAATGACAGCCAAAGTGATGAATGTAATATTAAAAATAAGTCGCAGGCTGCTCCGACTGGACAAGAGTTAGGCAGGTAGTCTTGCATCGGCGGTCCAGATTGATTGTGCTGTTTACACGAAGGCGAGAGAACCCGGCCACTCTAGACCCGGCCTCTCTAGGGAGAACTCAGCGAGCCCCGCTTCATAAACTGCCTTGAGACTTCGCCTGACCTCATCCCATCACATCGTTGGCATCATAGCCGCCCCACATTACGACTTTATATCACTCTACAGGGTAGCTTCGTGGGGAAGGCATACTGAGAAGGCTCTTACATGCGAGTCTTGGTGACTCCCTTCAATTGACCCTCTGTCCAGCTGGTGGCCTTTACTTTTATAAAGACGTCGACAGAATACTTTAATGCTGTGGTTGGTTATGCGTCGGTGGAAATAGTTTGTGTGTCGGTTCTCGCTTCCAGCTATGCTATTCAGAAGTAACCGTTATGTCAACCACAGACAACAAAACTTCTCAACATACGTCCCCAAATAAGAAATAAATCAATTTAGTTCTCAGCTACTGGTAGCTTCACTGGGTGGAAAGGCTGAGCGGACGGTAGCAATAAAACACTGGTCCCAATTCAAAACTGGCTCGCCAACGATCAGAACCCGGGTGGAGAGCGCCGCATATTACAAGCAACTCGAACAGCGTCAGGTTTGATCCAGCATTGACATCTTTAAACATTGTACCACCCACGGATTGACTGCTCTTCATCTAAATCGTAACACCTTCTCTAACAGCTGTGGCATATTTTTGACCAGCAGACTGCTTGAATATTGGGTTTGGGGGAGGACTAGGAGCAAACGTACCTAAAACCCACTGAAAGTGGGACCCTTCCAGCGCCCCATGCCACTGTTGGGGAGTTTCTCGCGACGACCTCTCTACCCGGCAGCCCTCATGGAAATCAACGACAAACACCACGAATTGTTTCCCACTCCCAAGGGACCAAAAAGAATGCAAAAAATGCAAAAGAAAGAGCTTATAACGCCTCCGATACGGGGAATCGAACCCCGGTCGCCGCGGCACATTTTCAGGATGAAAACGCGGAATGATAGTCCACTACACCATATCGGAATACCGATGATGAGTCGTTGCGCTCGGTTGATGACAGCAAGCCCCGGAATAGGTCATTATAAATGATTGACGGAGCCAAAACATACTATTTGGCTCACAAATTCCCACCTCAGTTTCTATCTCTTTCTGCCTTTTCTGAGCACCCACTGCTCTTCCCCAGAGGTCCCGACTCTCTCCTTCATATACCAGCAGCTGAGGCTTGTCTCAAGCGATCGTTTCTTGAACTTCAATCACTCGTAACTCGGGAGAGAGGAATGAGATGCGAGATGTTTCTAACTGATTCGATCACCTCCCTAACCTGGGTGGTTTTAAAAGAAATAGCGTGTGTCACCTCCACCTTGCTGATGCAAACTAGAAAGTTACCAATGTAGTCATGTGTTCTCTACCGGCAAGCTTAAAGTTCCGTCACCGTCCGGGTGTTGATTTCGTGGACCATTTGGTTGCGGGATCTGCCAGGTGAATCGGATCCGATCCTAACTCCGTCAACATGTCAACTTTGGGAAGTAAGAGGGACCCAGACAAGTTCATATCCGCCAAAGCTAGAGTGTCCACCCATTGTGTGGACCATACCTCATCCATCCTGCGTCAATAACTGTCGATGTGACAATACCTCCTGGTTACGCCTCACCATCTTTCTCAATTGATTCGTCAAAATATAAGGTGCCATTATATTTTCCCGACTGTTCCAGGTATTTCGGGTAACAAGAACTCAATATATTCCTCACTTAGTCTAACCTTGTTGATGTAGTGATTAGTTTCAAAAGTAGGCACCTTAATGTAAGGGAAATATTAATTCCGCCTCTGTGAGAGCAAAGAGAGACATTTACCCATGTTTAGAAGGGGCGCTAGAACTAAATATGATAGAGCAGTGTGCTCCTACGTCCGAGAACCTCCTAGTATAAGGAAGGGGGTTTCTCCCAGAATACGAACTGAATTCTAAAGAGGGGACTTATTTCACCCCCATCGCCACCCCACCGACACCGTCGCTCCATCGTCTCAGTAGGGTCTCGCTCGTCGTGACATCCAAGGCGCGCCGCCAGGCGCATCGCGATGCCAAGAAGTAGTCGCGATTTGCCCGCACTGCTCGTTCCTCTGCCGTCGAAGATTGGTGTATGCACTGCTTCCGATCGGTGATTAAGGCCTACCTCGACGGGTTCAAGGTTGCGACACGCAGGAGTCCCACGCCGGCATGGCAGAGATCAACTGTGTCTTCCTCTAGACCAAGTCATTGCGCTGTGAACAGTGCAGCCTCCGCGGTAATCTTTGCGTGGTGTAGATATTAGAGGAAAACAAAGACTAAACTAAACTGAAGATTTAGCTAATAATAGTTAAGGTTTAGCCTTAGGATATATAGTCAACATTTTCTTAGAAATTGTCCTCATACCATCTCAGAAACAGGTCTCGATCAACATGGGCAATGAAGCGTTGTGGGACAGCAGCCGGATGGATCATCTCATTCTTCCCCCGGTCGTTTCCACTCTCTATCGCTTACATCTTGGTTAGGCTGGAGCTCGTTATGTATCTCACAAATGTTGAGACTGTCGCATAAACTGGAATAGTAATTCCAACCCAATCTCCACGCAATTCTCGCACCGAACACCAGGAAGTACCTCGGTTTTGGCGTGATCTATGATCGTCAGGAAACCCCCTTCAATTTGGAGTGTAATCCGCCAGAGAGATGGCGCTGCGGCTTGTGGTGTTCGTATAACTGGGCCTTTGTCTCAGCGTCGACGTCTTCGTCCTCCTGACAAGCATCGTCAAGCTCAGTCTGGTTCCGGAGCTACTTTTCTCTCAAAGTGGGGGCTTTATCGTCCACGAGCGACCAGACTTCCATTGCAGAACGTGCTGCAGTAGCGTAGTCTATCTGCTCGATGCCTTCCTCAATGGACTCCGCGATCTCGTCGGGAAAGGTCTGAACTTCTTCCCACGATCGATGCTGTCTCTGAACTGGTCCTCGGCATCTTCCTCGGTGTTGCCAATATCTGGATCCTCGTTGAATGCCTCGTCGAAGTTGACCCCAATGGTGCGGATAGTCTCGTCATCGATGGTGTTGGTATCGGCCTGTTGGCGATTGCTCACCGACCGTTTCGCCTGAGCTAACACACGTCGGTTGAAATCGCTACTCATCGACTCGAGCCCTTTCATTCTGTTTCGTCAATGGTCAATTCTCGTGTCTGCTTTTTCCTGCGGGTCTTTGGACAATGCGCAGAAAGCGACGGGGCGAATAACCCCATTGCAGTCCTTCTTGGAGGCAGAATCCCCATCGTGGGGATACTCCTCATCATCGTTCCGCAGTTGCTCAAAGAGCTGGTTCAGCATCGGCCCCATAAACTGGACTTGACCTGGGGTAATTTTGGTAACAGCAAGCATGCCTCTGAGGTGATCTGACTGAACATTATCCTCCCCACTCAAAGCGATGGATGTATGGTTGAGTAACTCAATGCGGTTACTTGTATAGTAATCCTTTAGGATGTATAATTTGGCTTATATAATATGCTAGGCCTTGTCCGCTTAGGGCTTACCTTTTTGGAGGAGATCTTATATATGATACATCGCCAGATAGCGATGGTTAAGTTTCAATGAGTAGCAGATAGTTTAAGTACCAGTTTCCCAGTTTACTCTGTCCGTTTGTAGCGACTCCGTCACAGGGAGCCACGGAAGGATGGAAAAGGTCCAGCAAACTCATACAATAGCTACCTAGTCATCCGATAGGTATGTATCTAGCAAGGTACGTAAGTTCAATCTCTAGTAGTAAGAGCTGTAGGGTCGTGAGGTCAGTATGATCCAGCTACGTGAACTGGTACGGGTGGTCTTTGGGGCAACCTTGACTAATTGCAAGTTGCAACTAAGGAAGTGGCCAAAAAAAGATACAAGACTTAGATGAGTCTTATTTCTAAAGGCGCCTAAGCCTGGAGCCGCTGCATTAGCCTTTATGTTCTAGCTGTAACCCAAACCGAGAACATCCTAGCAACGTTAGTCCGTCCTATCTCAAAATCTCTCCATGCAAAAGGGAGATTTTGCTGAACATCGACATCTTAAGGAGGCCCTAAAGGCCCAGGTGGAAGAGTTGCCAATAGATTCAACACATAGGCAAGATGATGGTCTTCGGCAAACTCAATGCATGCAGTCTCCCGAATATCGAGGTCCATCATTTGCAAAATCTACCACGTCCCAACCCGGGTATCATTCTTGATGGTTTGGCGACGCAATTTAATGTTGAGTCGTTGGTTCAGGTATCTTATCATTTCTGTGAGACTGCGGTATGCGACAGCATCAGATGGAGGCTCGATGTCGCGCTCGGCGTACTTTCTTTTGACCGAGAACGACAAGCTTCTCTGGTATTGACCCGACACACAGCAGCTTATAGCGGGATCTTCGGCAGCTCTGGGGATGCACTTTATGGAAACGAACGCAAGGTATCGTCGCATCTGAGAAAACAATTTCCGAAGCGGTCTGGCTCCATCCTCGAGGTCAGGGAAGCAGGCCTGGTCCAGATCCTCGTCGTCAACATCACCAAAAACTGCCTTTGTCCATCGCTGGTAGAGAACTAGATGGCGGTCTTGCTTCAGCTGAGTTGACAGCGCACTGTGCCGAAATCCATGTGCAAGCTCTTCCAGCTGCTCAGATTCGTCGCAAAGCT